AATACCACAATCGACGATCCACCCCAACCGGAGCAAACCAATGAAGATGAATTTATAGACATAGAAATTTTAGATCGAGATTATTTCACTGATTGCGAAGACAACAACTCATCCTTTCAAGATGATTGCGAGAACGTAGAACCATTACCAAACCCTAACAGAACAGAAGAAAAAAAAACAACTAACCCTGAAAGAGGTGTATCTGAACAAAACGTTCGAAAGAGATCCTTTCAGGATATAACAAATAGTGGCGATCAAGAAGTAAATGTAAGCTTTGCTAAAAAATTCAAAGACAACAATGTAAGTCACGAAGAAATCGAACATTTGACTACAATTGAGGAAAATTCATTGTCCTTACTACAACATACGGAAACTCTTGAACCTGAAACTGAAATAACAGCTCAACAAATACCATTGGATGATGACAGTGAGGTTGAATTTGTTAGTTATACGCAAGTAGTAGACAGTTCGCCTAAAATACCACTGCATGCAAATAGTGTCGAATTATTCTTAAATAGTGTCATTTCTAAACCCCCATGTTTACAGAAACGTAATTTTCTTAAAATTTGTGAATCGCCACATAAGGTCAAAAGGAATCGCAAGTCAAAGCTAAATCGTTCTTTAAACCAGATAAAAAATGAAAAGAAATCTGTTCAACTCAGCTTAGAAAACTTCATTACAAGAACTAAAGTATGATTAAACAGATTTATGGGGTTTCATAAGTATTTAATAACTTGTGGCTTTAATATACAACATAGACGATAGATTAAAATGCATGTACAGAAGTCGTAGATTGTAGTATTTTATTTTATCTACTGATAAAAACTATGTTAGTGTTATTTTTAATTATTTTAGGTAAACCTAATAGTGAATTATGAAGTGGAAGTGATGTACAGATTTACTGTATATGTGAGTTATACATTTGCTAAAATGTATTCTTGACCACGTACATCTCTATATTTAAGTGCATTTGTTGCATATTCAAGTTAAAAAAAATTTAATTGGTTAAATTTCTATTCCATCTGTTCTTCACAAACAAATATTTCAAGTCGTCCAAATTTTATTGTTTATTGTATTTGTTACTGTTACCGCGTCTGTAAAATTGATTTTAAGAATGTATTACAAGCATTTCTGTATAATTTTATAAAGTGTTTTTATAATAAAAGTAAAGCAAAGATTGTATTGTATTTTTCAGACAGTTGAATAATCTAATAATAATCTGGGACAATGGAATTTGTGGTTAGTTTAGTACAGAGGGATGTGGTTGTAAACACTATTCCGTCAGTTGTGAAGATGTGCAATCTGCATTTAGAAATAAAATTGTCAAATGAGTAATTGATCCGCCGTATTTAATACGTTCTTTTTATATTGATAATGCAAAATACATCATTATATCTTGTTAATAATTTTAATTTCATTTCTTTATTTAAAATGATTTGACATATTTTAAATGTGGTGCGCTTTCTTTTCTTTTTGTTCCCACTGGTATACTAAATTAATCTACATAAAAGTTATCTATAAAAAAGGTTCTACTTATACATTTTTTTGCTAGGATCAATGCTCAAGGAGATATGGAGGTGGGAGGGGGTGTACAATTTTAGAAAGTTTTAAAAAAAAAAAAGAAATGTTTTAAGTTAAATATAACATGTTTATTGTTAAAAATGAAGTGATTAGTGAATTAATTATGTATCTTGACAATTAAATAATTAATTTTTCAACAATAACAAGTTTGCTGAAGTGGTTTTCGCAACTAGAGAGCAACACGTTGATTTTCGGGTATCAAGGCAAACAAGAGATTCACGAGATCGAGCTAAGATTCACGAATGGTTCAATGACCATCCCCCTTTTCCGAAGTTGGATTCGCTAATGTCGCTGTCATCGGGCATCTTGGGAAGTTCCAAAATAAACTGCCACCAAGCCCTCGATATTGGAACCAAAACAATGCAAAGTTTTATTGGCAGCAAATTCGGTGACATGAAGCAATCTAAAAAGAATGTGGTTTTGTCAATAGCCAGTATAAGTAACACTGTAAAAATTAATGGTGAGAAAGTGCGAGTATTAACCCCCTGACAATTTTTCAACGAACTGTCATAGTAAAAAAGAACGACAGCGATGTAGCAGAGCTTTTAGCATATGAATTAACTCCATACCCCTTGGTTCTGTTCAACGAAGGCGGAATGCGAAAAGGGAAAAAATCAGCCCTCTATGATGTTTTGCCGGCAGAGGACAACGCAACCCTCGATCTCACCCAGAGCACCGTTGTAGTAGATGGCGGTTTCCTCCTCCACCGTGTGAAGTGGAAACAGTCCTCCAACATTTTATCAATTTCCCAACAGTACATTGCCTATGCACAAAAACATTACGGTGAAAATTGTATGGTGGTTTTTTATGGTATAGTCATGTCGACAGCACAAAACGAGCGGAGCAGAAGCGAAGAGGGATCTCAAAAACTTCTGTTGACATCAACTTTCAAGAAAACACGACCATCACAGTTCAACAAGAGCATTTTCTTGCTAATGAAAGAAACAAAACAAGGCTGATTCACCTTGCTCAGTGAGAAAATGACAGCAGCAGGAAACTACTATAGCTACAGGGGATGCTGACGGCACTATTGTGAGGTGCGGGTTGGATAAAGCTGCTGTACATCCAACTGCAGTAATAGTTGGGGAGGATGTGGACTTGATAGTTCTCCTCATTGGGTTGGCACCACAATCAACCAATATATACTTCATGAAGCCAGGCCGTGGTAATGTGGAGACCAAATTGTTTTCAGTGCGGCAACTTCAACAACATCCGGTCGCCAAAACGATTCTCCTTCTCCATAGCTTCTCCGGATGCGACACTACCTCGGCGGTACATGGGAAGAGTAAAGTGGGAATAGCTAAGCTTTTCAAGGAAAATCCTGGCCTTACTCAAGACATGTCCACAATATTTAAAGATCCCTCAACATCACCTGAGGATATTGAAGAGGCTGGTGAGAAACTTTTCCTGGCTATATACAAAGCGCCTGCTCATCAAAATAATCTAAACGAACTTAGATACTCAGCATTTTTAAAAGCTGCAATGAAGCCCAAGTCAGATATGGCCACTCTTCCGCCTACCAAAGGAGCTTCAAAGCAACACTCGCTCAGAGCATACCTACAGGTAAATCCATTTACTTGTATCTTAAAATACCTAATGCTTTCTTTAAATTACAAATATTAATTTGTGATGAATTCTTACGTTGGTCTCATTACTTTCTTACAGATACAACAGTGGCTCGGAAACCCCCTACCCCCCATACAATGGGGTTGGGTCAAGGGAAAAGATGGTATCCTTAACCCAGTTTACACGAAAGACCCTGTGGCACCCGAATCCATTCTGAAAATGATCTTTTGTCGATGCATGACTGGGTGTGGGGTGCGCTGCGGTTGCCGAAAGGCAGGGATTACCTGCTCCGGTGCCTGTGGATGCCTCGGCTCATGTACGAACGGAGCCCCCGTCGAAGAAAGCATCGATGAAGATTTAGATTTTGACGAAATTTAATTGTCAAGATATATATAATAATAATTCATTCACTAATTACTTCATTTTCAGCAATGAACATATTATTTTTAACTTAAAACTTTAACTTAAAACTTTTTTTTTTAAATTTTACACCCCCTCTCACCTCCATATATCTCCTTGAGCATTGATCCTAGCAAAAAAGTGGGCATTATTTTACGAGTTATTGACAAAAAACTGAAAAATAGGACCTTTAGACACCCCCTACACCCTTAGCTCCACCCTCACCCCCCAGGACTTTTAGTATGTTGTTAAGAACACCTTCCTCTACAAGTGTGCAAAAATTGGCTTCTACATGAATTATTTCCGCTATTTGGTATTTTTTGGTCTTCGTTGCTTGGACTATTAGCACGCTGGTCATTTCAAAATTATATGAATATAAGTAAGAAAATTTTTGGAGGAGAATTATAATATAGTGCTCTCCCTCCCCCGATTGTTTGGCCGTCTCGTAGAAGAAAACAATTTTCGAATTAAATTTTAAGCATCTAGGGATCAGTCCTGCTTGTCTGCCAACTAATTGATGACATAATTTTAGTTTAGAAAAATCAAAGGTGTCTTAAAAATTTTTCTTAAAACGTTTTTTTGCATACCAGTAAAGTGCTCTTTGGGGACGAGGTACTCAAAAATGTTATTAAGAGAAGTTGTTCAGAATAAAAAACTGAGTTTATCTAAAAATTTCAAAGTCGTAGGCCTACTTTGATGTTTTTATTCTTTAACAGTATTTTTTGAGGAAGTCCAAAAATATTACTAAAAAAAATTTCAAATAGAACGTAGTTAATGAGTAGAAAAGTGGAATCCGATAGGAAAGAATCCCTAAGAATATGAATGTGTTGAAAAACGCAATATTATCAATCAACATCGAGAGATTCTTATAAAAAATTTAAATCATATTGTGAACTATAGGAAGTGATTTGAATGTATGTATGTAAGTTGTATACAGGGTGGAACCTCTCAAGTTTGAGGCATATCGGGCGATCAAAAATGCGTGACTGTCGAGTCACCTTTGGAAGTTAAGTACTAAAGTCACTAAATATAGAAAGTACCGCAATCCATTGGGCTCGTGTGTTAGAGAGAGAACGCATGATTTTTGCCCAAAAATGGCGGAAGTTACCAGATTTTAGTAACTTTAATGTTAGGGATTGTTCCACCTGTTTGGAGATATCTGTATATATTTTTATAAAACATGACAGTACTATAAAGTTAGGTTATAAAAAATGACAGCTATTCAGATTTTATTTGTCAATTTTTTTAAGTTGGCAGCAAATTTGCCCAAAAATGGCGGATGATTGCGGTACTTTCTATATTTAGTGACTTTATTAAGTACGATTTCCCATGTAAACAAAAATTCTAAAAGTGACCTAATGGTCACTCGTTTTTTATCGCTATGTATGTATGCATTGTAGATATTCTATCATAGACAGATACTTTAGTCACATATTTGTGTTTACCATGAGCCGTGCCATGAGCTACATGTTATTTATCATAACTTAACCTCAATTTAATTTATAGTCGAGAGACTTAGTTGAATTAACGTAATATAACTTAGAATGCTTATTTGGTGTACAAAAATGTGATAAAAAGACCTTTTTATGTCACAATGACCATCTCTCTCCGAGCTTCAAAACTCGTACATTCAAAAATACCAAGTTTCAAACACTTCTTTATTGCTCTATTCGTAATTCTCCTGGTTTCAATAATAATTGCATTTGTAGTACAAAGTTGGTCATTCAATAACGATGGCTCTAAAACTTATCAGAAGTTGCAGCTGAAGAATGTACTAAACTTGCCCGAAGTGAAGCTTGTGGATGATAGTCCAAGCTCCAGGCCGCACAATTCCAAATGCACGTATTGGGATTGCTTCAACATTTACAGATGTGGAAGGACAGGTCATGATAGAATTGCGATTTATGTTTATCCTTTAAAGAAGTATGTGGATTCTAAAGGGGTGCCGATTGTTGAAGTTATGTCTAAAGAATATTATATGATATTACAAAGTATAATTGAATCGAAGTATTATACGGCTAACCCACAAGAAGCATGCTTGTTTGTTCCATCAATTGATACTTTAAATCAGGAAAGGATACAGGCTAATCTTACCTCAAGAGCACTGGAATCTTTAAAATAGTAAGTACAATCAATGTCTATTATTTGGAGTCTTTGGGATTGTGCTACGCTTTCTAATTTGTTCACAAAAAGATAATTTACATTAATTGTAAAAATGTAAAAATCAAGGGAGCTTCTGGCCCTTCGCGTACAACAAAAACCTTTACGGAGTCTAGCTCACACAGAAAATATTGCAGATTTTTTATCATACCAATAGTATAGCGGAATCTTAATATTCTATCTATGGTTTTCTTCTATCCGCCCTTTTTGAAAGATATGTTTCATTAGTAAATGAAAGTGGAGACTGCTGTACATTACAGTACTCTCCAAAGTACAAAGCTAGGAATAAAACTAAAAACCCCTTTGTGAGAAGACTATTTTTATGTGGTGATGTTAATAAAAATTGAATCGAATGTATTACTTAAGTGTTTTGTGTAAAATCTATTGTGTGCAGACTTGCCAAGTTGTGCTCTCGAGGTTTCATTAACAGAATATCGTAGAGCCTTTCTGGTAAGTGTTATCATCGAGTTATTCTGGAACCAATTAAATGGTATGAAAGCTATTTATGTACATATCAATTTTGTTAGGAAAACGCCAAAACTCGTTATGTGAATTTCATGCACTTTTGGTGACTACATGTATTTTAACCAAATGATCGAGTCATTATTGCAGTGCTTAATTTGAAGGCTTTCTGATCTGTGACATCAAAAATGCGCTGAAGTCTAACGATGGCACATCGTACTTTTAATAGCTTCGAAAAATATATTTTTTAAATATATATACCTCGATATATACTTACAGTATGGTGCAAATGGGAGGAATAAATTTATTATTTCTAAATAAATTCAGTAACTGCAACGAAATGCGTAAAAATAACATCCCTAAATTAATATTAATACCCTTAAAGTGAGGGTCAGGGGCGGATTTAGGAAGGGATTTTAAGGGCTGTTCAAGAAAGGTTCAAGATCTCCCCATAGAATATAATTGAAATTCTTAAGGTTTGTTACATAAGTGTAGGTGTAAGATTCAATACATGCTCAAACACTCGCTCAAATATGAAAAATTAAACTTAAGTAAGCTAACTAAGTGAATTTACCTAAGGGGAATAACTTAAAATGACAATACGATTACATGTCTGAAGGACTAGAAAAATTTGTATGTAATTGTTGCTTTTGTTTATTGTCACTTTAAATTATTCCCCTTAGATAAGTTGACTTAGTTAGCTACTTCAGTTTAATTTTTTATGTTTTAGCATGTATTAAATGTTACACCTTTGAAAATGGGACCGGATTTAGTTTTGAAACATGTGTAATTTATGTAACAAACTTTAAGAATTTCAATAATTTTAAGTGAGTGACGTATGTAAACCGTCAAAATAAATACAAATTTTGAAATCACAACAGGTTAATTAGTACTTAAAATAATTTTGTAACGTAAATTTCATTACATGGTTTTTTATTTACAATTAACCTAACAATAAATTTATAACAGTCTTAAAATGGGTTAATTTATAACAGTTATTATTTATCACCCACAATTTATAACATAACACACGCGCATCGAAACTGGCTCAAAACACAATTCGGTTTGTTTAGTGCTTTAGGACGCTTCCGAATGTTCTAGAATAAACACGTTATATTTTTCGGAAAGATTGCGTCACATCCGCTTTTTTTTATTTATCACCGATAATTTATCTTTCATGGCGCATCGATGTCAATCGGGGTTTCTGGAATATTCGCTACAATATTAATTTTCGGCTTTCTTTAAGTACTCACTTAAGTAAGTGTGGTAAAGACTGTCACTGAAAATAAAATTTTACTATCTTGCACTTTTCCTAATTGATTTTTTGTTTTTAAAAAATTTGGTTCTGATCAGTTGACGACGCGGTTGACGAGTTAAGAAATAATGAATTTATTCCATCCATTTGTACCATACTGTATTAAATACAATAGATTACATTATCTTTTCAGTTGGCGAGATGGTGAAAATCATTTATTTTTTAATATGATATCCGGTACCGCTCCTGATTTTTCGACTGTCTTAGAAATAAATACAGGAGATGCTATTATAGCTGCAGCTGGATTTAATACTCACACATATAGAGTTGGATTTGATATCTCTATACCAATTTTTAGCCCGATTGCGAGCCTTGCGGAAATAACCTTCATCAATAACTTGAGGTAAATATTTACCTTCATAAATTAATCTTTGATAAATTAACTTCAGGCCATGGTTTGTTATTTCATCACAAATAAACATAGATTCGTATTTTTTGGATGAATTACAAGACATGCAGCTACACAATTCGGGGTTGCTGATAGTGGATGCTTGCCAAGTTCATAACTATTCGAAACGTTGCGAGTATGGTTCACATCAACAGTTTTTGTATCCGCAAATTTTACAGAAGGGCACATTTTGTTTGGTGTTCAGAGGCGAACGAATGAGTCAATTGGTTCTACTTGAAGCACTGGCTGCTAATTGCATTCCTGTAGTTGTAATGGATGAAGTGGTAATGCCGTTTGGCAATGTAATAGATTGGAAGCGCGCAGCTGTATTTATTATGGAAGATTATTTGAATACACTCCTTGACGTGTTGAAAAAAATTTCGGAAGAGCGCATCGAAATTATGCGAAAGCAAGTTAAGTTTCTATATGACAAATATTTTTCGAGTTTAAAACACATTGTGGAGACAACCTTCGATATTGTACAAGATCGCGTTTATCCCAATTGGGGGAGAACGTATGACGACTGGAACTTACGCCCCGACGAACTAATTAAAAGTCCACTATTTCTCCCTATCACAGCTCCTAGATCTCAAGGATTTACTGCAGCTATTTTAACGTATGACAGAGTAGAAAGTTTATTCATTTTAATAGAAAAGTTATCCAAAGTACCTAGTTTGTCTAAAGTGGTAGTCATTTGGAACAATCAAAAGAAGTCGCCGCCTCCTATGCCCAGTTTTCCTCAAATTTCGAAACCAATTAAAGTAATTAGGACGAAAGCAAATAAACTTTCAAACCGTTTCTTTCCGTATGAAGAAATCGAGACTGAAGCTATACTGACTATTGATGACGATATTGTTATGTTAACAGCAGATGAACTGGAATTCGGTTATGAGGTGTGGCGAGAATTTCCAGACAGAATAGTTGGTTTGTATTGTGTAACGTTATTTGTTCGCCGGTTTCATGCTTAATCTAGGATTTCCTTCAAGAACTCATGTTTGGGATAACGTCACTTTAAGTTGGAAGTATGAATCAGAATGGACAAATGAAATATCTATGGTCTTAACTGGTGCAGCATTCCATCATAAGTATTGGAGTTATTTGTATACAACCACAATGCCGGCGGATGTACGAGATTGGGTGGATGAGCACATGAATTGTGAAGACATAGCGATGAACTTTTTGGTGGCAAATGTAACCAATAAACCACCAATTAAGGTAATTAGCGAATGGAATCATAAAATGATGCAATTCATATACATGTTTTTACTTTCAGGTTGCACCTAGAAAGAAATTTAAATGCCCACAATGTGTGAATAATGAAATGTTATCAGCAGATATGGGCCATATGGTAGAAAGGTCACAATGTGTAGATAGGTTTACCAAAGCGTTTGGAAGAATGCCATTAAAGTCAGTTGAATTTCGCGCAGATCCTGTACTGTATAAGGATGCATTCCCCGAGAAGCTCAAACGATTCAATGACATTGGCAGCTTATAGTTAAATTTTAACTAGATATAGGTAGATGTGGGAATACTCACCAAATGAATGATGGTTAAGTTGATGGTATTGAATTGTGGCTCTTGGGGTCTTATAGACGAGAGTATTAGAGAAAAATTGCTAACAACAATGGTGTCAGAAGAAAATGTAATTTTATGAAATTATATTGTGTTCTTCTATATGCAACTAGTTTGTTCTAAAGCTATGGATAAGATAATATCTGAGTTGTAGATTCATTAACTGTCTCCCAACACATTTAGTTGATCCTATGCATTTAAGCGTTTTGTGTTTCTAGCGTCCAAAATGTTGAATCCATCTTAAATTTTTGTTTCTCCAAGATTGTGGTGTGAATGTCGTCGTATCTCGTTAGGTTGAGGCGTTTTTGCATTTCGGTGACTGTCCAAGAGTGTATAGTGTGGCGCCTTCCGGAATTGGCGTAGAAACTCGTTTAAATTGACTTGCTTTCATAGTCTCCATGGCGTTTGGACGTTCTACTTCCCCATGGTGGATGCAGGGTACGGCGCTCTCCATTTCGGGTATTTCACGCCCCTGTTTTTTAAAAAGGTCTTTAACTCCTCGGCGGTGAACGGCCTACCATTGTCAGATACTACAGGACTACTGTCGTGAGCAGTAAATAGATCATCTGTCACTGCAATAATGGCTACTGACACTGTGGGGGTTACCCTCAACCTAGTAGGCATATTCCATGATGAGCAACATTGTATCCACAACTAGGCTAGCGTAGTCGTAGAAACGTTTCCCATGCTGCCTTCCAGTACCTACTCCTACTGGTGGTTACAACATTTTTTAGGTGTATGCATATCGGCTTCACAACCCACACAATACAATGTCTTTTCAATGGACGTCCATATTTGATCCATTTTGGGTTACGATGTCCATGTGGCACAAGTGTACGTACAGTGGACGTCCATTGATTCTCATGGAATATTTAACAGATGAGTCATAAAATAATTAGATTTTACGTCCATTTGCCACGTTCCAATTACGGCGCGCATGAATTCGAATACATCTACACGGGGATGCGCAGTGTTACAATATCAGCAACTTATTTATGTGATAACCGTTTATTAAGATAAGAACGCGAATACATATGTTTATTCGAATATTTCTCTCAGATGTAATAAATCCCAATGAGGTACAGCGAAAATTGCATTGTAGAAAGCGAATGAGCCCTGCGAGAATTGCACTGTCCATAACCATGGCAACTGGCAACTCCTTTGGACAGTTTCATAATACACCGACAATTTATAAGTACGTAACGTCCATTTGACAAATAATGTTTATTTGTTACTCAGTTGTAAACGTTGATTAACAAGACAAAACGGAAACGGGTAAACGTCATGTTTAAACGCTACTGACTTGTAAAACTGACAGCTGACCTGTAAAAATTTTACAAGTTAGTAATCTAGTAATTTCATTGGCCAGAATTAATGCGAAGTCTCTGTTACATGGATAACATGATATTTTAGACATTTCTTCGAGATCAATTTAAGAACTAATTATTTACGTTTACTATTGTTTACAAATGAATAACAAATAAAATATTGTACATTATACGCCAGGTAAGTTTTTACTGGCTCTAGGAGATGACAGACTCGCCTGACGGCTCGCCAGTCAACTTCTCCTATCGCCAGTAAAAACTCACTTACCTGGCTAATAATGTAAAATACTATTGTTCGGGAAATTCTCCAAAATTACACTGGTGCATCAAAATAAACCCGATAATTTTTTATTCAAGCATGTTGTCAGTAAAAAACTGCATTGGGTCATTTTCATATTTTGTTAAAAGATCCCTTCGGTGTCGGGCTCTTTCGCCAAAATATGAAAATAAACTCATACAGTTTTTAGACAACATGCTTTCAAAAAAATTAAGAGTAATTACTTACGATAACGCGCCAATATACTCGTAGGTACAACTACAGTGACTTTATAAGGACAGTGGCGACAACTTATCATAATCCGCCATATTGGAGCTAAAAAATTGATTGTAGGATCAATATACCTTATCATGTCAAATTGTGACGGTAGAATAATAAATGTCAGTTTTATTTAAGTAAAGATTCTCGTTCTAAACTAATGGCGCATAAATGATCGTTTAAAGCTTTGCAGAGCAACCTATGGGAAAACCACTGCCTCCCAAATTGTAAAGATACCTATATGGAAAACAGTATAATAAGTATAAAATAAAATATGGTGCAATATCCAAAATGTACATATAAAGGTAACCATTAATCATGAAATTGTGTTTTACATTTCAGTGTCTTCTGTCACTTCTTGTCCCTTTTCGCGTGTTTCTCCTTCCGGGATAAAAAGTATTACTTTAGTCCGGAAAATAAAACACGTTGATCTAGTCCACGGAGTACAAGAGATCAATCTTCCTTGTGCTTCAGCAGTCATCAATGTTAAACATTAAACCAATTCAAGCGTACTTATGATCACAACCATCCAACAACATCCATAACCATAATTGAATTTGTTGCTAAATTTCGGATAAGCTACTTCTCTAGCTCTCCAGTTTTATATCTAAACTCATTAGGTATTTAGGAGGGCTTCTGAAATAATGTTTACATCAATTACCAGTAGTAAGGTTAGGCACAGTTTTACATCTAAATACACTTTAAGCGAATTACATACCTTATAATATCGCAAATCCAAGCTGTATGCTCGGCTATAAAAATCGAATTTATATAAAACCATTGAATAAAAACACTATAAGAAGCCTAACCCCGTGGAAATAAAGCGCGACAGAGATTGAACTGAGAATATAATGGGAACACTGTCAATAGTGTCGATTCTTGAACTGAGAAGAATGAGAATTTGCTTTCCTCCTATTTACCGCAAAGAGAGTTCGGTGGTCACAACCAATGCGGGTGCAAGGGGATTTGTCGCGCTTTCTTCCATAAGCGTTAGGCTTCTTATAGTGTTTTTATTCAATGATAAAACTGAAGACGGAAAACCTAAAATAAAGCAAATACAAGAAGCAAAGTGTCAACTAGTAACGTGAAACCGTGACAATCACAGTCACAGGTGACACTGTCAAAACAGTATAATTAATAATTATAGCACGGAGTGTACCGCGTCGTTTTGGAAGCTTTCTATTGGTCAGTTTGGAATTTAGCTCCAATATGGCGACCGGAACCAAGACCAACGACCAATCAAAAACGAGATACCCTGTTGTCGCCACTGTCTCTATAAAGTCACTGTAGGTACAACAAGAAGGTTAAAATAAAACAGGAAAATCACACTCGATTTTTACTATATCAGGAACAAGTTTACTTGAACATGAATTATATCAACGATACTTACGCTAATATTTTACGATAAACCAAGACAAGACCTAATCTAATTTATTTAATTTATTTTTGACCTTTATCTTTGAGTGCGCGAGGCTTCAGCTCTGCCATCCCACTTGCAGATGTGTTCCACACTGACTCTCTGTACTGCGCAAACGCAAGCGCGCTAAAATTTGAATTTGTGTACAGCTGTCAAGGTGTGTAAGGAGTAAATAATATACACATAACCTGCAAACGTTATAATTGAAGATAATTTAGCTTACCTGCTTACCTATTATATGTAGTAGGTATATGAAAATGCCATGTTATCAAGATGAATTTTGTTGTTATCTACATTTGGAAGAATATGCCAAAGGCGATATTAGGAAACTGCTTCGGTAAGTACAGTAATAGTTAATTAGAAAGAGTTAATGACATTTACTTACAGCAATAACGTTATACAGACCAACATTGACCTATGGTAAAGAGAGAGTCCGGTGCTGAACGAATCTCAAAAAAACCAGACTACAAGGATCTTGACTGATAGCTAAAGTAGAGGTTTGCTTTCAAGTTGGCGCTATAATGTATTTAACTGGAATTCACAGTAGTGACCGAAGGCTTTAATTCGAGAAGAAGAACATATTCTTTCCGAGAATACAGCGACATTTGGTTTGTAATATGGAAGTCAGCAGGAACTGGTATTATAAACAAAACAAACGGTGGCACGTTAAAGCAAATTCAAATTTTAGCGCGCTTGCGTTTGCGCAGTACAGGGAGTCAGTGTGGAACACATCTGCAAGTTGCCATCCCACCCCACTACTGCAGTGGCGTACCGTCGGTCATTGGTGTCCAGGGCGGAATATAAACTTGCCGCCCTAATGAGAAAGGCGAGGGGAGTAAAGGTTAAGTTTTAATGTTAGTTTTTTGTTTGAAATAAATCTATCAAAGATAATCGAAATTTTACTATTATTATGTCTAAACCTAAAATAATGAAAACTGAAATATCACTAAAAATTTATTTGAATACCATATTATGTATATCAAGTTTTATAAACGACTCTTTAGACATACCTACGCTCGTGTTTAATAACGAGTGTCTAAAGAAGTTTATAAAACGCGTTACATACTATACTTTTTCTACGAGAATTGTTGAAAAAGTACCTACACAAGCATAATGTCCTCGGAAAAGGATCCTACACGGTTGTGTTTTCGCCATTCATCGAAAATATAAGCTCTCTCATATACTGATACCTTGATTTCTCAGGTAAGAAGAAATTCCTGATGACTTCTGTTGCCGCTTGCGTTATTTCAGGAGGACCAGTAATAACATTTTTCTCTTCATTATCATTCTCTGTGTCCATTTTTGAAAAGAAGGAGTTTCCCTTACGATGAATGTCAAAATGACAAAGTTGGGCATGTTATCAATATGATTATTATTTTTGTCGCCCCTTTTACAGTGCCGCCCTGGACGGACCGCTCCTCCGCCCCCCCCCCCTGTCGGTACGCCACTACTACTACGTTCACCTATTTTTGAAAATTCATTAGAATCAGGAAATATTGGTCTTTTTCTTTCTTTTAACATCTGGCTAAGTACTTGCTCTGCTTCATTTAAACTGTCTAAAAATATTGTAATGAATGTGTACACGACTTTTCCCCCCGCCACATATTTGTAATATCTCATTACGGACCTATTCTTGAATTTCTGGTGATCATTAATAAGATCAATTGTTTAATCGTCTAAATATACCAATTGGGTTTGTTGCCTTGTAAGAGCAGTTGGTAATTTGGAAAACAAGGAAAAATGTATTGACAAAGCTTTCGTTTATCAAAAATGCTTTCAAAACAAATTGGAGTAGCTGCAGAAGTTTGCTAAGAAAGACAAATTACCTACATTACGTTTGAGTTTCACGGAAAATTTAAAAATGTACACGTAAATTTCCCATTTTCCACTGTGTAATTTCTGATAAATGGCAAATAAAATTAATCGTGTTCTAAATAACCTAACCCTATTAAAACACTATAAATGCCATAAAATATCGATGTGTAGATATGTACTTATTGGGCGATAATTAATTTCTAATAAATATATTGTCGTCAAAAAGGATACTTCACAGAGAACAACTTTCTCAAAACAGCCCCTAATAAAAATAATACCTACACATAAGGTATGTTCCTATTTTACTACAAATGACAATAAGAAAGACGTAATTTATATTAGATATTATGTAAATATTTTGATTTTAACATGTAGAAGCAATAATGAAGTCCTTCCCAGGCAATTTTAATTACGATTTCTGGTTCGCATTTAACTAAATTAGGAGTTGACTAGCTCTCGTTGCTAATAATAGGTAGGTTGTAGTGTGTGACAAATTAAATTAATAACTAGGAACTGGACAAATACTACAAATGTATAAAATTGGCAATAATAGTGACCGGGTGGCGTAGACTAGTTTTTTCGCGGGAAACAACGACCACGTATGGACTAAACAATGTCCTGCGGTCAAAGGACTCGCTACAACCAGTACTCACTACTATTGTTTACTTTTATTTGTCGCATAAATAAATGCAACCTGTTTATATGACTCACAACTGATCTGATCGATTTTTTGCCTATCAATTGCGACTTGTTTGAAACTTGATGGATATAAATAAAACAGGATAAGTAATGTTTAAAATTAAGTGTATCGTACATCGCGCAATTTTATGACAACTGTTCGAATTTTTTCCTACTTTAATGCTTTCTGCAAAAATGTACGATACAAGCAGCGAAAAACTAGAAATGTTCTTTATTTGGTATTTGATGAAGAAAAGTGTGAATCGTGCAAACATTTTGGTACATTGTTTGACAAATGTGTGGCGGTAAATCTATTACTGACAATCACTGTACTCGTACCTATTATGCACAATTGCACATACGCAACTTTTTCTTGCATTTTTGTTCCTATTTTAGTTATACATACCTAAACCAAAAATGTAGATACTTACGATAAGCTGTTCACTCAGCATCAAAAAGTTTATTTCAAAGTTTACTCTTTAGATGGGTTTCTATTACAGGAGTGCTCATTCTGGCACACATCTCGTATTCATCTATATATCATTAATTTAATGAACATAACATATTAAATTTCCGCGGTTTTTCAAAAACCTTGAAATTGAACTCTAAGCATATTAACATTTTTGGTACTAATTTTTTTGCGAACAGAAATCTTAATAATTAATTATCAAAAACGATCTTAAAATGTGCGGCGTTTGAAAAGGTCCCGAAAGACCGCTAGGTGGCTGTGACGTCACTACGCACGTTGGCGCTGCACCGTAGCACAGATAAATTATCTGTGACCGTAGTATTGCTTACAATGGATCCAGCAAAAAAACGTCGTTTTTTGCGGAAAAAGCGCCGAATAAGTATTGCATTGTGCCTGGGTGTGTTAGCAGCAGTAATCTCGAACCTAATAAGGTGTCCCAACATAGGCCAGTCAAAATCGACAATAAATCAACAAAACATGATGTATCTCTGATTTTTTAGTATGTTGTTTGGACCCATTAGAGTAGTGTATACTCAAGTTTGCAACTCTCTAAAAGTTGTGGAAAAAGTGTAGTATACGAAAAACCGCGACATTTTCGGACTTTTTGCAGTGTTTGCGTTATATTTCCTTAACTATACATTTTTCGACGAAAGTCACTATATACGTTTTTGAAGAGTATTAAATGTATAATAATTTGCGCCTAACCCGAGCTCTGTAGGTCAATTAGTTACCGAATTACGGCACTTTGAAGATAGTCATTTTTTTCCAAAAAGTGAACATTTGAGTTTTACACCTTCTTTAGATCGAAATTGCGGCTAAACTATTGATCCCACGAGTAGAACTTATAAAATAGACGTTGTAGATAATTTAATTAGCTTTAAGTTAAGCGTAAAGTGGGGTCTGCAGGTCTCGTAGTTCTCTCTAAATCTCAAAAAAACCGATATAAGGTAAAATCGCATTCCATACCTGCTTTCAGGCAAGTGCAGCCACCTCTGCATCCCTTTTTGCATTTGCAAGAAAGCAGTTTCAGGAGTTCTGGGAGGGCAGGGGGTTACAGTCTGGTAATGGGAATGAGTCCAGCCGAGTTCAATTCCCAACCCCATTCGGTGGCCTGAGCATTGTCCTGGAGACCACGTTTTACACTGATGGCAACTAGTGAGTGGATACCACGTTTTTGAACAACTATCACTGATTCGTCCTCAAGTGGATATCGACATATAAAACAAGAGCCGGGAGGTACTGGCATTGTTGGAACCTATTCACAACACGATACTTGGTGTTTCAAAAACGTACAAATTGAAACACGAGTTACTCACAACGGAGGAACAAATACTGTGAGCTCAGGAAGAAACTAAGAAAGCGGGGGAACGAGAGAGGGTTTCATATACGATTAACGATACGAAATATGGCATTAACAATTCATCATGAAGTCTGAAAATCTGTAAATACTTTAGCGCGCGCGGTGTAATAACGTTCCCGAGCCCAAGCCAACCTCTTCTTTATTGTTTTTCTGTTTTAAAGATGTTTTTCTTTCGCCTCTTTAAAAAAGTATTTTTTAAGGCTCACTAATTTTAATCTAAATGTAGGTATAGGTATCTTAACTGAGTAATAAACAGCCCTATTAGCGAGCATGTTTTTGGCTCATAAAGATGATCCTTATGTTATTGTTAGCATAGTTGTCGCAAAGTTGTCATAAATTATGCGTGGTCTTACCAAGACTCGAAAAAAGTCATTTTTAGTGATGAATCTCGATTTGATATCAGTGTAGGCGATAATCGAGAAAGAGTTATCAAAACGGAAAACAAAGCATTTCACAAAGATTGCTTAAAGTGGTCTGTAAAATTCCCCAGTGGTGTAACGGTGTGGGGTAGTATGTCTGCAAATGGGCTGGGACAATCGCACTTTACAAATTGTAATGTTTATGCTCAGAAATATCAAGCAATTTCAGAACAAAGTTGATTGCCTTCACTTGCGACATTTTCACCTGATACGCAGACTTTGTTTTTTAACAAGACGGAGCATCATGCCACAGCAAAAAACGACTAAGAAATGGTTACAAGACCATAATAATAGTGTTTTAGAGGTGCCCTCATGCAGTGTAGATCTCAATGTCATTGAGACAGTGTGACATAAATTGAAGCAACGTTTGTGTATTCATCCGCAACGCAATATTGCTTCTTTGAGTGAAAAGTTACAAGAGATTTGGGGTACCTTTGGCATCGATCAATGTAAAGCTCTTGTGACGACCATGCCTGCACGAATCCAGGCTGTTATTAAAGCCAAAGGGGATGTAACTCATTATTAAGGAATGGTGTCCGAACATTTTTGTGTCACTTTAAATTCTAATTTTATGGTGTTTTGTGTTATTTGACATTTGTAGCAGTTACTAGATATGTTTAATTTATAACTATAGTAAGAAAAAAATAATAAAATAACATACAATGATTTTAAGTTACAATATTTTGAGTGTCCGAACATTTTTGTGTTAGGGCTCGTATTAGGTATGTATGTTATTATTAGGTATGTATATTATTGCGGCACCTTCCTACGACTTACTCAACTTTGATTTGTGCCTTAAATTAAATCTATGAAATTGTTGGATATTTAAAATTGACTCTATGCAGCAAAAAAAGTGATTTGACACATTGCTTTTTTATTTCCACACCAAAAAAACAAAAGATAAAAAGTTTGTGGAACATTTCTGGAAAAATACAAGTTTACCTTATATCGGTTTTTTTTAGATTTAGAGAGAACTACGAGACCTGCAGACCCCACTTTACGCTTAACTTAAAGCTAATTAAATTATCTACAACTTCTATTTTATAATATCTACTCGTAGGATCAATAGTTTAGCCGCAATTTTGATCTAAAGAAG